AGCTCGAATTGCAAACTATAGGCAGAACCTCCAATTTCAATCCAATCAGAAATGTTTCTACCAATCCATCAATGGAGAAACTGCAAGGAATCAGTCAGTACCTGACAAGGAAGAAACAGTGCAGTTCTGGAAGCAGATATGGGATAACCCAAAGAAATACAACACGGATGCGGCTTGGTTAAAAGAGGTGGATGGAAATAAAACAGAAGTTGAAATGAAAGAACTAGTAATAACAACAAAAATGGTAGAAAAAAGAGCAAGGAAAATCAAAAATTGGTCAGCACCAGGTGAAGATGAACTGCATGGGTTTTGGTTGAAACATCTGTTATACACCCACTCATTTCCAAGCAGTTCAACAATATACTACAAGGAGGAGAAATTGAAAAGTGGCTAACAACTGGGAAAACCTACCTAATAATGAAAAATCCAGCAAAAGGGGCAACACCAGGTAACTACAGGCCAATTACCTGCTTACCAACAACTTTCCAATTACTAACTGGTGTAGTAGCTGATGCAGTGCACCAGCATCTAGTTGAAAACAATCTCTTTCCACCTGAGCAGAAAGGAAAACGCCCCAACAGCAGAGGAACAAAAGATCAACTCCTAATAGACAAAATGATCTTGGAAAACTGCAAGAGAAGGAAGACCAACCTGAATGTTGCATGGATTGACTACAAAAAGGCATTTGACTCTCTGCCACATGATTGGATAATCAAGTGCCTTGAAATAACAGGAGTCAGTAGAAACATCAGAAAATTTGTGCAAAGATAGATGGCACAATGGAAGACACAGTTGCAGATCAATGGTGAGAAGCTGGGAGAGGTTAATATCAAGAAAGGGATATTCCAAGGAGATTCATTATCACCATTACTATTTGTTATTGCACTGTTTCCTCTGTCAACAATACTGAATAACTCAGGACATGGCTATCAAACATCAAAAACATCTGCTAGACTATCCCACCTCCTTTAAATGGATGATCTGAAGCTGTATGGAAAAACATCATCTGAAATAGAATCGCTGCTCAACACTGTCCGTATATATAGCCACGATATTGTAATGGAGTTTGGCTTGGACAAATGTGCCACACTTACTATCAAACAAGGAAAAATAATGAAAACTGAAGGAATCAAGATGCCCCACGAAAATAACATTAAGAGTTTGGATGAGGAAGAGTACTACAAATACTTGGGTATCCTTCAAGCTGACAACATCAAGCACATTGAAGTCAAGAAAAAGATTAGAGGTGAATACATCAAGAGAGTGAAGAAGATCTTAAAATCCAAACTCAATGGAGGAAATACCATAAAGGCAATCAACACTGGGCAATCCCAGTCATTAGGTACACAGCTGGAATAGTGGACTGGACTCAAGCAGAACTAAAAGCAATGGATAGGCAGACCAGAAAAATAATGACAATGAATCATGCCCTTCATCCACGCAGTGACATTGATAGACTTATCTACCAAGGCAAATAGGTGGGCGTGGAATGCTACAAGTACATCAGATGGTTGAATAAGAAAAAATGGCTTTGGAAGAATATCTGAAGAACAATGATGAAGATGCACTGAAATTAGTATATCAGGAAGGCTTACTAACTACTGGAGAGACCAAACTGCCTACAAGAAAGACCAAATGAAGAACAGAATAGAGGCATGGGAAGACAAAGCACTACATGGCCAATACATGAAAAAAATAGATGGGAAAGCAGATAACAATAAAACCTGGCAATGGCTAAGAGCAGGAAAATTGAAGAAAGAGACCGAGGGACTAATTCTGGCTGCACAAGACCAAGCCTTAAGGACAAATGCATACAAAGTCAAAATTGAGAAGACAGCAACAGACAGTAAGTGCTGCCTGTGCAAAGAAGCTGAAGAAACAGTGGACCACTTGGTAAGCTGTTGCAAGAAGATTGCACAGACTGATTACAAGCAGAGGCATGACAAAGTAGCAACAATGGTGCATTGGAAGATCTGCAAAAAATATCATTTGCCTGTAAGCAAAAACTGGTGGGATCATAAAATAGAGAAAGTCATAGAATATGAAAAAATTAAACTGCTCTGGACTTCAGAATTCAAACAGACAAGCACCTGCAACATAACACCCCAGACTTAACAATTGTCGATAAGAAAGACAAAAAAGTCTGGATAGTGGACGTGGCAGTGCCTGGAGAAAGCAGAATAGAAGAGAAAGAACTGGAGAAGATAACAAAATACAAAGACCTACAAATAGAAATAGAAAGACTGTGGCAAAAGCAAGCAAAGGTAGTACCAATAGTAATAGGCTCCTTAGGTGCAATCCCAAAACAACTGGAGCACCACTTGAACACCGTTGGCATTGACAAATTCGCTATTAGTCAATTGCAAAAGGCGGCCTTATTAGGAACTGCTTCCATCCTGCGACGATATCTGTAATACCATCAAACATCCACATCTGCCTATCCCAGGTCCTGGGTAAGGACTCGAAAGGTAGACAAAATGCCAAATCCAGTCTGAACATCTGGCTGACTGTGCGTTGATCCATAATAATAATAATAAAGTTGGAAAGGATTTTGGAGGTCATGTAGTCCAACCCCCTGCTCAGGCAGGAAACCCTATACCATTTCAGACAAATGACTGTCCAGTCTCTTCTTAAAAACCTCCAGTGTTGGAGCATTCACTGCTTCTGGAGGCAGATTGTTCCACTGGTTAATTGTTCTAACTGTCAGGAAGTTTCTCTTTAGTTCTAGATTGCTTCTCTCCTTGATTAGTTTCCACCTGTTGCTTCTTGTCCTGCCTTCAGGCACCTTGGAGAATAGCTTGACTCCCTCTTCTTTGTGGCAGCCCCTGAGATATTGGAACACTTCTATCATGTCCCCCCTCATCTTTCTCTTCATTAAACTAAACATTCCCAATTCCAGCAACTATTCCTTACATGCTTTAGTCTCCAGTCCCCTAATCATCTTTGTTGCTCTTCTCTGTACTCTTTCTAGAGTCTCAACATCTTTTTTACATCGCAGTGACCAAAACTGGATGCAATATTCCAAGTGTGGCCTTACCAAGGCATTGTAAAGTGGTATTAACACTTCACATGATCTTGATTCTATCCCTCTGTTAATGCAGCCTAGCACTGTGTTGTCCTTTTTGGCAGCTGCAGCACACTGCTGGCTCATATTTAAGTGATTGTCCACTAGGACTCTGAGGTCCCTCTCAAAGTTACTACTATTGAGCAAGGTACCCCCTATACTATACCTGTGCATTTGGTTTTTCTTGCCTAAATGTAGAACCTTGCTTTTTTCACCATTGAATTTCATTTTGTTAGATAGTGCTCAGTGTTCAACTCTGTCCAGATCCTTCTGTATTTTAAGCCTGTCTTCTGGAATGTTGGCTATTCCTGCCAGCTTGGTGTCATCTGCAAATTTGATTAGTTCCCCATCTATCCCCTTGTCCAAATTGTTGATATAGATGTTGAAGAGCACTGGGCCCAGAACAGAGCCCTGGGGCACCCCACTACACACTTCCCTCCATGTAGATGTGGTTCCATTGAGGACCACACGCTGAGTACGGCCAGTCAGCCAGCTACGGATCCATCTGGTGGTGGTGCTTTCTACCCCACATTTTTTTATCTTATCAAGTAGTAGGTTGTGATCTACTTTATCAAATGCCTTACTGAAGTCCAAGTAAATTATATCCACAGCATTCCTCTGATCCACTAATTTTGTCAGTTGGTCAAAGAATGCAATAAGATTTGTCTGGCATGATCTATTTTTGACAAACCCATGTTGGCTTTTAGTAATGACTTTGTTTGCCTCTAGGTGTTCGTTGATTCGTTGTATGATTATCTTTTCCAGGATCTTCCCAGGTATTGAGGTCAGGCTGATAGGTCTGTAATTTCCTGGGTCCATTTGTTTTCCTTTTTTGTAGATGGGAACTACATCAGCTCTTTTCCAGTCCTCTGGTAGTTCCCCTGTACTCCAGGATCTTTGACAAATATGGTTCAGTGATTCTGAGATCACATCTGCCAGTTCCTTGAGAACCTTGGGGTGTATGTAATCCATCTGGTCCTGGCGATTTGAACTCGTCTAGGCTGGACAGGTGCTTACTTACCATTTTCTTGCCTATCTTAATTTGTGTTTCTATTCTGTTTTTTATGGCACTATTTTTGATAGGTTGGTCTGTTTTTTCCCTTTGTGTAAAGGCAGATGCAAAAACGAGTTAAATAGTTCTGCTTTCTCCCTGTTGCTTGTCATCTTCTTGCCACTTTCACCCATCAATGGACCAATCATTGTCTTCACTTTTTTCTTGTTTTTTACATGTCGAAAGAAGCTTTTTTGTTATTTTTGACTTTGGTCACAAGCTTTAGTTCATTTTGAGCCTTGGCTTTCCTCACTTCATCTTTGGAGGCTCGGACTATTTGCTGATATTCTGACTTATGTGCCCCTCTTTCCACTTTCTATACTTGTCCATTTTATCTTTCAATTTGTCAGAGAGTTCTTTATGCAGCCATGCTGGTTTCTTTTGAGAGCTGTTATTTTTCCTCTTTGTTGGTATTGTGCTAGACTGGGCTTTTATTATCTCATTTTTCAAAATTTTCTAACCATCCTGTTCAGATAGCCACTAACTTGTGAAGCATCATAGAGATGACTGAGAATGGGAATAAACCTTGTAAAATGCTGTATAAGTGCTCACAATCATTATTATCATCTCATTTTTCTCTATAGACCATGGGGCTTAATAGTCATGAATAACTAAAGTTATATTCCAAACGTTGTTACTGAAGCAAAAAGCAAGTTTATTGAACTAGATTTGTGATAGAACTGAAGCCCACTCATGGCTTTTCTGCAAAATCGGATAGAAGATACGGTATATATTTAATGAAATGACAGTGGAGCTATCTCCATGTCTATATCAAATTTTACTCATTTCTCCACTGCAAATTTTTTTCAGGTACAACTTTACTGCCCTCTTCTCATCAAAATCAATTTTAAGATTAGTGGAGGAATTCACAAAATGGAATCTTACCTTGATCTTCTGAAGAAACAGGAGACCTACAAGAAAAGAAAGAACAAGGAGCTTCATTCTTTGGTTTCTTTAGTTTTTTTTTAAAAAAAGGCTTTAGTGCTCTTGTTGGAATTTCTGTAGAAGTATCTGCAAGGTGAAATGGGGTGGGATGGCAAGCTGTAAAAATGTAGGACACAAATCACATAAGCTGCCACCTTAAACCTCTTAAATCAGGACATTTAGGTCCTAGAGAGACACTTTTCAACATTGCTCATTTTATCCTAACAAACATATCTTGTTAGCAGCATTAGCAAAACCTTGGCCCATTCTTCATTTTGAACTAATAATAAAACTTGCAAATGAAGATCAGAAGTAGTATAACATCCTGCTGGCTACTTTGCCCTCAGTGTATTCAAGCATGCACGCACACATGCACACACACACACACACACACACACAAACACACGTTGTTAGATATAGGCCTTAAAAAGCAAATATAAAGATCCTATACTTAAGCAGTTTGAGCAATATTATCATTTCAAAGTTAGCTCAAAATTAAACCCATGTACTTTACATTAACAATAGCAAATGTAGACAGAATAAAAGAAGGTGAGTAATAAATAGTTGGAACTGGATGGGGTATTGTTATAGCCTCAGAGTCCCCTTGCAAAGCTGTCCTACAGTCTTTGTCTCCCCTTTTTTCAGCAGTTTTGAACATAAAATTAAAAAAAACTAGTCGCCACCAGTTCTCTCTTCCCCATTCTAAGGTTCCTTCAGTCCCACCGTGGAATACAAAAGTCTCTCTCTTGAGCCTGCTCAAGATAAAACAGGAAAATAACAAAATAATTGATTTTGTAGCTTAGGCCAAAGGTTAATACAATCTAGCATTTTAGCAGTAAGCAAGAGTATGGATTAGATCAGGGGCACAGTCAAGAAGAAAATCTATAGTTCAGAGGCAAAGTTCATGTCTTGATGGCAGGAAATATGAGCCTTAATCCCTGACAACTTCAGCTAAAACAATTCAAGGGAACAGATGATTAAAATCTACTGCTGCCCTACAGATGAGTCTTGATAGTCAAATAATTCAATCTTGTACCAAGCATTTCTAGTGTACAGGTAGTCCTTGACTTATGACCAAAATTGAGCCCAACATTTCTGTTGCTAAGTGAGACAGTCAAGTGAGTTTTGCCCCATTTTACGATCTTTCTTGTCATAGCTGTTAAGTGAAGCACTGTAGCTGTTAAATCAGTAACATGGCTGTTAAGTGAATCTGGCTTCCCCATTGACTTTGCTCATCAGATGATTGCAAAAGGTAATCACATGATCCCAGGACACTGCAATCATCATAAATGTCCAAAGTTTGTTGTCAAGTGCCCAAATTTTGGGCATGGTGATGCTGAAATGATTGTAAATGTGAAAAATGGTCTTACGTCACTTTTTTCAGTGCTGTCGTAATTTCGAACAATCTCTAAATGAATGGTTATAATTCAAACAACTACCTTCCTGGCACTGATGGATGAGGGTTTAATCCAGGGACCCCCAACTTTTTGGGCAGGAGGGACCGGTTCTGTGGAGAATGTTTTTCTGTGGACCGGAAGGAGTATGGTTTTGTGTGCTGCCTGCATCCTGTGGATTGGGCTTTGCTTGTTTGCGTGGTCCAGTTGCTGACATGCCACGAACTGGTGCTGGTCCACAGACTGGGGATTGAGGAACCCTGGTTTAATCCAACCTGTTAAATTAAATAATCCCTACCCATTCAAAAAATAATTAGATGTGCGAAGGGAAAGAACTGATGTTAAAGTAGCTTCTGTCCCTCATAAACCATATGTCATGCCTCCATCAGAGCCTGAATCTGCGCAGGAAAATGAGCTGAAATGGGACCCTATGGAGGTTGAGGGAGAGGGGTCTGTGGTTTCAGAGTAATATGGGGAAGAGCAAGCTGAGGCAGGCCAGGGCTTTTCAGGATTGGGACAGGATGAACAGGAGAGACAGAGTTACGGTGATGAGCAAGTGCCACCCCCACCTGATCCTAGAGCACGGAGAATGGAGAGAAGGAGGGAACAACACAGGCAGGCTCAATTACTCAGGAGGAGAGTGTCCTACCCCTCTCCACAAGGCACACCTGGAGACTGAGATTTAAGGAGATGCTGTGGGGAGAGGCATTTGTTGGGAACAAACACTGATTCCTTGGAGTTTTGTGTGTGTTGTTGCTGATCTCTTGTTCTGTGACTTCTGCTTGGAAACCCGGATACTCTGATCATTGGACTGGCTGACAACATTGCTTGGATATTCAAAGATCTCAGACTGTATTTTGTCTTTCCTTTTGAAACTGCTCAGGCAAGTCTGTATTCACACAGACTCCTTAGGTTTATGATGTATGTGTCATTCCTTGTTATCTCTGTGGCCTTGAGTAAATTCCTCTCCTAATCAGATTGTATGTGAAACTACTTGCAGCCAGAGGTGGCTGAAGGTGTGCATGTCTTCCTTTGTTTGGAGGCTTGCCAGAAACGTGGGAGCATTTGGGGAAATTTGGAACAATTAAAGGGCGGTTTGAATTGCCAGCTGACTGCATTGCCTCTGTGCTGTGCCCTGAGTCATCACACCATATTTGTCAACTCTTCACTTGTACCCTTTTTACTTTTGAACTGTCTGGGGGAACCAAATGAAGGGAAAAGCATGTTTTGAGTTATTAATTTTGCCTACGTGCTTATGAGAAAGAGCTCTCTATGATTTTTCCAAAATTTAGTCCTACTGCTATCCCTTTTAGCCATGCAGCAGCATAAAAGATAGCCAAGCCTGGGTACTTGCAATTACTGAAATTCAGAAAGATACAGCATAGTTATCCACTTTATAATTACAAGTAAACATCTTTTGGGTGGCATCTTTTAAAATATGCCTCAGTAGAATTGTTATCACAGCAAGATGGTTAGAGGCAATTAGCCTTGCATATGAAAAAACCTGAAGCAGCAACTGAGAGAAAAAATGACTATGATCATTTTGACTGAGAAAACTGTAACTTTTGTACCCTATCTGCCCAGACCATGGAGTAGACACAGGTCTGTATGTTTGTGAGGGAGAAAGGCAATAACAGTTCAAGCCAACTTTAAACATGCAGGATTTCCAGAATGGGAACCCTAGACTCACTCACATGAGATGGACAAACATATAAATTGAATAAAATAAATATAGCCTATAACTGAACATTTCCACTGAAAAATGAAGAAACCCAATTCTGAAGGGAAGCAAACAGGAGGCTAATAGCCAGTATGATCTAGTGGTTAAGTCACCAGGCAAGAAAATGGGAGACTGTGAGTTCAAGTCCCACATTAGCCCTGAAAGCCAGGTGGGTGACTTTGGGCAAGTGAACCCACCTCACAGGGTTGTTGTTGTGTAGCAAATAGGAGGAGGGACATGTGTTGAATATGTTTGCCACTTTGACTTATTTATAAAAATAACCCAATCCCGTGGTTTGTACAACACACTGAATTACAAACTAAACAACCTAGATGGTAACCCACTAACCCATAATTCTAATCAAGTTTAATGTTAATCAAAATTAGCATTTGTGCATATCCTTCTGCTGGTACCCATCCATCTGTTTATGAACACAGCAAGGCAATATTTCTCACTTGTGGACTTTCACCCTGCAATACAAGATTGCAGGATTACTTGCTGCACTAGCTGAAGGCTGCATCTTCTGTGGAACTGTGGCATGATATATCTTCCACTGTACACTGACATATCCCTACAAAATGAGAGCATCTTCCCTTGGTCATGCAAAACTTACACTAACCAGAAAGCAATCCTTTTAAAGCCAGATGCATCTACTCATTTAGCTACAGTTCATGGTAACTCACAGAGCCAGATCCTATGTTTAGCACCTGAAGCCCCAACCTGAAACTCTATTATGCTCCAAAGCAGCTAATTCTAAAAAAAACTGGTTGTTCTAAAAACCCAATGACTGGTTTGCAAAATTTCCAATTTGAATCTGCTCCAGTTTGACGGAAAAGGAATCTATTTGAATGGAAGGAATCAAGAGAAGGGATTTGCAATGCAGAGCTGGGTTTATGGAATTTCAAGATTCATGACAATTCAATGATCCTCCTTCAGGCACATTTTAAGAAAAATTCCAGCAATCCAGTGCATTATTCATAAAGACAAATCCTCTAGAGAACCATCAAGCCATCCTAAAGCTGCTATTTTTACCAGCAACCCAGAAACTAGAGCCTCTGCAACCCGAAGCATTTTCACGCACAGCTTTTAAGAATATAAAAGTGCCAAACAACAAAATACCTTCACTGACCCTGTCTGGTATTTGACTGTCCTCTTCTTTACAGAGCAAATTGTACATTTCTGCAAATCTGCTACTTTGTTTGGAGAAAATATGGTTAACTAAATAAGGAATTCCTGTACCTAAATATTTTAATTCTTTCTTTATTCTTTAATTCTTTGTCTTTAATTTTAGAAATTTATTTTTTCCCTTAGTTCTAAAATTGTTCTTCTAAGTGATTTCTTTTTCTAGGTATAATGCAGACAATGTTTAAAGAGAAACTTGGAAGGGTGCTAATATGCAGTTTTATGTATGCACACAATTATTGTATCCCATTTATATCTCTGCTTCAGACAGGCATTCAGTGTGGGTTATTTTGCAGATGACACAACACCCACACAGAGGACCGATGATTAACCTCCAGATTGGGTGAAATCTATTACTTAAATAGTAAATTAGCATTTTCTTAAAAAATGAACACTAGCAAGTTTGTGATCAACCTTAGAAGCCTTTATTTTCCATAGTTCCTATGTACAACAAATTTAAACTTCTTTAGTATGATTTCTCTCCTTACTTTCTTAAATCTTCCTTTTGTTTGATTACACTTATACTGATTTTGTTAGTAAATATAATAATATATTCAATATACAATAATTTGTTATGTTGTTTTTATTTCTACACCTACTACCTGTACTTATTTTGTAACTCTATTTCTTAAAGTGATGTATAAGATGATCAGGCTGAGTCCGAGGATGGGGTCAAATGCATCATCAGTCT